ACTGCGCTCTTTCAAAAGCCCTCTGCCTTGGTGCAACCCATCATGAGCGATCCGAACGTAATCGAGCACTTCAGGCGAAGAAACGGGTTTCCATGTGGGCGCAGGTTTCCTGTTAGACACAAACACAAATTTACAACGTTACAGCATTCTTCGCATGATATCACTTCTTGACGCTGACGCTATGTAAGCGGGGACTGTTTCCTAATTTATCGGTTCTTATTATTTGATTTATTGCTAGTGGCGTGGGACTAAGACCCTTGTACTGGGCCACTTCTGACCTATTGTGCCAGCCCCAGATGATAGGAGAGGGTGATTGTGGAGTAATTGGTGCACTGAAGATTGGCAGGGGAAACCGAAGTACTCGGAGAAAACCTGCACCAACGCCACTTTGTCTACCACAAATCACACTTCACCAGACCCGGGATCGAACCCGGACCGCCGCCGTGGGAAGCCAGCGACTAACCACTTGAGATATGGTGCTGCCCTGCCGCTATATAAGTGGAGACGGTTTTCCTAATTTATCGGTACCGCCTGGGAATTTGCGGCAGACACCCATCTAGGGAAATTGCAGCGCCTGCAAAACAAGGTTTTCCGCACCATTGGTAATTTTCCAGGGCGTACATGGGTCCGCGATTTGCGCATGGCATGCAAAATCCCATACGTATATGATTACATAACAAAATTATGCAGGCAACAAGCAGAAGTCATACAAAATCATGAAAATGAGAATGTTCGCAACATCGGACAAGGCGAAGCCCGAACAACGAAGTATAAGAGGCTTAAACTTGTTGGCGGTCAGGCATACAGCCGTTCAAGTGACTAGACTGCCGTGGTAGCGAATACTGGTAGAAATAGGGCAAAATCTGCTGTACTGAGCCTGGACAGACAGAGGCCTTGTATAGTATATATCGTACATAGAAATAAGGAATAGGTGTGGATTTGTAAATGTATGTAAATACAGACAGTAGACTTATTAATACAGACTGACTGACAAATGACAGACCCAACCTCTCGTCAGACAGGGCGCCACACATAGACAAGACAGAAAGTTTCATTCAAAAGAAATATCTGGTCTTGAGCCCCAGCTGGGGCTCGACACCAAGACAGACTGACTCGGCGTCAGTTGCAACATGATTTTGACTTAATTTATCGCTACTTAACTTATGTTTCAACAGTACTTCTATGGCTTTACAGCCCTTTTGGACCTTGGTCGCTTTTTCAGTTTCTTAATCTACACAGAGTGGGTCCTTGGACGGGCGATCAATCCGTCGCAAGATCTCTACCTAAACACAGAACAGCACAAACGCACAGACATCCATGCCTCGAGTGGAATTCGAACCTGCGACCCCTATGTTCGAGCGAGCGAAGGCAATTCGTGCCTTACACCGCGCGACCACTGTGATCGCCGTTTTATCACTATTACTTTATATTAACTGAAGCAACTTTCAGACGACTAAGTTCCTCATCTTAATTTAAAAGTTAATTGGTTCTGGAACATAAGGCCGTGTGGTCCATTAACAGCGAACCGACGTTTGGGAGGAGCCTTTAGCAAC